AAGCCTGGCCCCCTTGCCACGAGGCAGACAGCTCTGCATGGCCATCCAGCTCCAGGGCTTCCTGTGGGACCTGCCCGGCTGTCACAATCCTGCTGGCTGCACCCCACTCCTGCTCCTTACTCCCAACCACTATGGCTCCTGAGAGCATTCCAGTAAAACTCCTCACGGACACTTCTCCAGCTCAGTCTGTTTCCCAGGGAACCTGACTTGAGAGGAAGGTCAGAAATTTCGCGAGCTCTTTCCTAAGTATTGAGGTGGTCCAAGCAAAGGAAAATAAAAATTAAAAAGCTACCTCACCTCCTCTACAATGCCTATGGGATAGGAGCCACCCAATGGCATGAATGTGGCAGCAGACCAAGGAAAGCATTTTCCCCGTTGTCTGTTAGTGGTTTCTAGACTCCACAGACACAGGAATAGCTAGCTGCGTTACACCAAACCCCCCTTCCCAAGCCATTCTTTGTATTAGGATTTAGCTGTCCAATCCTCTGGGGTTTCTATCACATGGATTTTGTTCAGAAAAATAGTGATTTTTCAGATAATCAGCTGGGCCAAATGGCACCACTTAACATAGGCAAAAAGATTTGGTTATGACCTATTTCAGTATATAGGTTGAGCGACCCTAATCCAGAAATCCCAAATCTGAAACGCTCTAGAATCCAAAACTTTTTGAGTGTCAATATGATACAAGTGAAAAATCCTACACTATGAAAATTTGTTTCATGCACAAAATTCTTTAAAACATTATGTAACTTACACCCAGGTTCTGTGTTTAACGTGCATATGAAACAAATTACTTTTGTGTTTTAAGTAAAATTTCTTTCTAATGCATCAGTCTGTCCAAATTGGTGTGTTACAATGGAATTTTTATTAAGTCCCATCCCCAGGATACCTCATTGTATATACGCAAATATTTCAAAATTCAAACATTTTAAGAAAATCCAAAACACTTCTGGTCCTAAGCATTTCAGATGAGGGATGTGCAATGTGTTTCTGATCAGCCACTGAAGGTTGTAAAGCGAACCACATCACCTGTGTCACACGAGATGGCCGTAAGTACGTGAACTTAGAAGCCACAGAAACCTATTCCCCCAGGAAACTGGTGCAACCACTCTGGAAAGCAATATGGAAATTCCTCAGAAAACTTGGAATGGGACCACCATTTGACCTCATTACCCTACTCCTCGGTATATACCTGAAGGACTAAAAAAATCAGCATAAAATAGTGATGTGACCACATCAATATTTATTGCAGCTTCATTCACAATAGCTAAGCTATGAAACCAACCTAGGTGCTCTTCAACAGATGAATGGAAGAAGAAAATGTGGTTTATATACACAATGGAATATTACTCAGTCATAAAGAAGAATGAAATTATGGCATTTGCTGGTAAATGGATAGAACTGGAGACTACCATGCTAAGTGAAATAAGCCAATCTCCCAAAACCAAAGTCTGAATGTTCTCTCTGATATGCGGATGCGGCACAATGGAGGGAGGGGGATAGAAGTTCATTGGATTAGAAAAAGAGGGGAATGAAGGGAGGGGGGATGGGAATAAGAAAGACAGTAGAATGAACAGGACATAACCTTCCTATTCACACATGAATACGGGACCAGTGTAACTCCACATCATGTACAACCACAAGAATGGGAAGTTATACTCCATGTATGTTTCATATGTCAAAATACATTCTACCGTCATAACTAAAATGAACAAATAAAAAAAAGAAAGAAAGAAAAAGAAACCACTTCCCCCAGAGTACGTGAATTAGGATCCTAATTCGAGTCTACACGCTTGGTTGCTGTACCTGGTTCTCGATGGCCTTCCTGTTCCTGGGGTCGCTCACCACAGACAGCTGCAGCTCCGCCATCTTCTTCATCTTGCTGTCCATGTCGATCTTCTGGAGCAGGCTTCTCGTCTGGCTCTTCAGCAGCCGCACCGTGTCCTCTTTCCCATGCTTCTTTGCAAAAAGGGATGCACACGCAGAGTGGATGGCCGTGACCCAGTTTTCCAGGTCTGTCTGGCTGGTGGCCTAAACACAGAGAGCG